GTTATCGATGTGCTGAGCAAGCATGCATGGGCCGTACCGCTCAAGGCCAAGAGCAGAATCGAGGTTACTACGGCGATTGTGAAAATAATTCGAGACGGCGGAAGATGCCTGAAAAATCTGCAGACTGACAAGGGAGAAAGAATTTTACAACGCAAACGTGCAGAAACTCTTAAAGAAACATAATATCAATATCACTATTCGACCTATTCCGTAATGAATGCATCGGTCGTCGTCGAACGATTCAATCGCACGCTCAAGAACGACATGTGGAAAATGTTTACGCGCAATGGAAATTACAAATGGATCGACTCGCTGCCGGGTCTCGTATCGGATTACAACGCGCGAAAGCATCGAACTATCGGCATGCGACCCATCGATGTTACCCCCCCGCGATCACCGACAAGCTCCTATAACAACGGTGTACAGCCACGTAAAGATCGCTGCTCCCGCGCGATTCAAAATGGGCAACTCGGTACGCGTGAGTAAATTCAAGACAATCTTCAAGAAAGGATACATATACCAAATTGGACCACGGAGGTGTTTAGAATCGTCAAAGTGCAGAAAACTAATCCCGTGACGTATCTATTAAAAGATTCCTGCGGAAAACCCGTCGCCGGCGGCTTCTACGAATACGAGTTATATCGCGTTGCTAATCCCGACGTGTATCTCGTTGAAAAAGTTTTGCGTAAAAAGGGGGGTGAGGTTTATGTAAAGTGGTTAGGATTTGATAATTCACATAATTCATGGATACACAAGAATAATGTATTGTAAAAATTTATTACAATATAAAAACATATTACACATACAAATGAGTCATTTATTTTCATACATATCTAAATGTAATTACAATATATATTTACGATGGCATTTTATAATGCCCCCCATGGCAGCGTCTCGGTAGAACCGGGTATAATGTATCGCTTATTGTCGTACGGACTTAGAGCTATTTTCGTTTCGGAGAAGGTGTACATCTTGTGTTGTTTGGATCTTATGCACGCCTGCTGTGATTCTTAAAGGCCAACCACTTATCGTTATCGCTCGGTAACTTGATCGCGCAGTCGTTCATCTCCCGACTGTCGACGGTGTGGGCTTCCAATTTCTCGCTCGTGTAGAAATAGTGCAAACATCTGTAAATAATGAAATTCGTTAATATCTTTTACGTAAAAATTATTTTTATTATTTATTAGGATGTATACTCACCGATCGCAAAAGTATTTCCGACCATGGTGTCGATTGATTTGCGAGCTCACGAGGCGGGATAGGTTCTTAATCCATGCAAAATGTCCCACGTTGTCGTCATGCACGTACAGCAGATTTACGTGTCTGCCCATCTTTCAGTCAGTGACACGTATTGGTAGGATTGCAAGTTCCTTGTTTTTTTTCTCGATGCTGTACACGTTGATGGAGATGTTGTTGTGATTTTTAAACCGTTTAATTTGATCCAACGTCATTGGAAACTCAATGTCCGTAAGATTTAGCACCGACGTGTAATGTAGATACGACGATTCGCGTTCTGCATGTCTCTCGGCTGAATGTAGAGCAGCCACCATTGACCATGCGAAACATACATTGTCTCTTGATTGCACGTTTATCGCCGCTCTCTTCAATTTAATTT